TTCAAGAGAAGCCAGAAATGCAAGATTTTTTTAAAAAAAAAACCAACACAAAAGCTTCTAGGTTTTAAATGTTGGTGGTGAATTCAAATTAAAACACTTTTATGTCCAGAACAAACCCTTGCAAGCAGGCCTCACACTTGTGGCCTGTTTTTGTCCAGGTGAGAAGCAGCCGGTGGCTCATGTGCCAAGAACTTGTTCTCAGAGCTCCCCAGTGTCCCCTGGGATGAGGTCGTTCACAGGACAAACACTTGCCAACAGGACCAAAGCACAGGAACCATGTGAGGAGGGGGTGAGCACAGGGAGACCTGGGGTTAGTCCTGCATCTCGGTCCTGGGCGGGCTGCTTCCAGAATTTCCCCATGGCCCTGGGCCCCCCGCCATCCCTCCACTGTCAGGACAGGGCTGCCCGTGCTCCCCTCTGCACATGGGTCTCCCACGCTGCCTGCGACAGCGGCTGTGGTTCCCACCAGCAAACTCAGGCCTGGCTCCAGCCCCAGCGGCAGTGCCCCACCGGCTTCAGGGACAAAGGTGCGCGTTACCTCACTGCACCCTGGGGCCCGGGCCCCTGCTCTCCGCTGCTGCCGCAGGTCTGCCGGAGCCGCACTGGCCTCGGCCCTGGAGGAGGTGGTCTCTGACACCTGGCTCCAGGCCCTGGGCTGTGGGAGGGCCTCAGGGCCGCAGGACACAGGCTGGGATTCCTGCTGAAGAGACCCCCCAGCCCATGAGCTGCCAGGCCAGAGTGTTTCCAGGACCCTGGCTCTGCTTCAAACCCTGCCCATGCAGTGGGGGTACTGCCTTCTGCCCTCTTCATGGGGCCTCATCTCACTGAAGACCCCTCCCTCAGGGATCCTGAATGAGTGACTGGCAGGCTCCTGATAGGTCCAGGCAAAAGGTAAAGTCCTGGCCTGCCCAGCACACATCACCCGCTCCTCGCGCTCCCTGAAGGGTGCAGCTCCCAGATGCTGGCATCTCCACTTCAGAAGGACATGCTGACATCCCCTGTGAGTTCCCATGGCACCCCAGCTTGCTTGCTTGTGCCTGCGTGCACATACACACACACACACACTCAGGCCCCAGGGAGCTAGAGCCAACAGGCTCGAGAGAAGGAGAGGAGGAGGAAAAGGAGGGGCAGCCGGAATTCCACTCCTGTGCCACGAGCACCCCGGAGCTGATTGGAAGCCGTGGTCCTGGCAACGCCGACGCTCCCCCTCCCCCAGCTGACACCATGGCTGTCCCACAGCCTGACTGAAAGGGCAGAAGCTGGCCTCTGGGACCACAGCGGGGCAGGAGGATGTGGAACCGAGCCTGGAGCCTCAGATCAAATTCCACGCAGGGGAGCAGCTGCTCTTTTCAGCCAGGCCCACCCAGTGCAGGCCCCAGGGAAGCGGCCAGGTTGGGCCCAATGAAACAGAGAACCAGTCCTCACTGTTTGACCTAAGACCTAAGGGGAAGCCATCTCAGCCTAGCTCAGGCCATGAGAAAAATGAGGGGGTGGGGTGGGGTACTGTCTCTTTGTTCAGACGCTAGTCCTAAGTGTTAAAAATAACAGGTTGGGAGATAAGATAGTGTTGTCTCTAACACCTGCCATCTTAGGGGCGCTTATTTTTAAATCTCAGAATTAGCCCTGGGCCTGGGAGGAGGGGAAGGGGCAGTGAGGAGGTCAGAAGACCACAGTCCTCCCTCACCAAGACATTCCACTGTTAGTCCTGAGGGGGGGGGTCAAAGGACAGGGTGGGGGCTGGGGGCCACAGGTTCTGGCTCTCTCTAGATGCATGAGGAACTCCTAGCAAGTCTCTCTCGCTGTGCCTCAGTTTCCCTTTCTGTACAATTAGCTACCTGTGACCAGCCAGGGAATGAATGATGGACAGTAGCCCCTTCCGAGATGACTTCCTGGGCTGGGCAGAGAGGGTTGGGAACTGGTCTCCATGAGGCTGGTTCTTGGGGCATGGCCTGTCCTCTACCTCCAGGCCACTCCTGCTGGGGCAACTGCTCTGAGTGAGGCTGGGGTCCCTGGACAGCAGAGCCCTGGGCCCTGGACAGTGCTACATACACGAGGAGGGTTGGGTTGGAGGCTCACCTGCTTGCTGGACTCCTCCCCTGTGCTCAGACTGTTCTCCTCATCCTCCTCTTGGTCATCCGTGTCTGACTCGGCCACGGCGATGGGCACGCACACAGGCTCTGGATCCTCAGGCGTGCCCTGGCCGGGCCGCTGGCCTTCCTCAAACCGTGTCTCCTTGTGGGCCAGGGGTGCCTTCTCTGTCCCTGGGAGTGGTGGGGGGCTGGAGGTGGCCACGCAGCTGGGCAGCTGGCCCTGGGTGGCGAGGGCCGCGGGCTTCTGAGGCCGCCGCTGCAGGAGCCCACAGCAGAAGTCCCAGGTGGTCCTCTTGATGAAGCGCAGGCCCCGCTGGATGCGGGCCAGGGCCAGCTGGAGGTTGTTCAACTCCCCGTCCTCGTCGGGGGCTGTGAGGTTGTCTGCACTGAAGGAGCTGAGCAGCAAAGCCAGGAAGAGGTTCAGGACCTGGGGAGACAACGCCGTGCCCTGGGTGCTCAGCCTTGGCCAGAATGGGGGCGCCGAGGCCCGGGGACCTTAAGGACTGCCAGAGGCAAACAGCTCTAGACTCGAACCCCGGGCGCTCATCCTAACCCCCACACTCTTGAATAGAGAGTTTGGCTGTAAAAGGAAAGACAGATTCTCATTCCTCCTCCCAAGGGCCCAGACACAGCCTGTGGGGTCAAAAAGGGAGCTTCAGAGGCTCGAGGGGAAAGCTGCAGCCGTGTGGCAGACAGAACTGAGAGAGACGAGCACCGGGGTCCCTGCGACCTCCAGCCCGAGACGCGAGCTGGTGGGAGTGGGCTGGGCTGGTGGGTGGTGAACGAGCCCAGGGAGAGGGCTGGCGCTGACTGCGTGGAGGCAGCCTCAGGGAGCTGGTGTGTGGTGCAGGCTGAGGCTGCAAGTGTGTGCAGAACAACCTGGGACCCCCATAAAAAGCACCACTACTGGTGAGTGTTGTGGGGGGAGCGCGGCGCGAGGCAGCCCGGCCACGGCAGCCATCTCCGCCAGCCCAGAGCTGCGTTGCTCGGCACCTTTGTCGGTGCAAGAGCAAGAAGACAGGTAGGGTTGAGACACAGCCATCTCCTCTGCTTGCTCGGGCCCTGGTGCGCGGCTCCTGGGCAAAGGCAGGGCTGAAACCTGAATCCATACCCAGGGGGCCTGCAGTTTCCAAGGCAGGAATGACATTTGATTATAGCCCAAGGCAGAGGTGGCAGATCTGCTCCACTGGCACTTTTGTGGACCTGTGTCTCTGAGACAAACGAGCGGAGTTCTGGTGCACGGTGGGGGCAGCGGGCCTGCCTGACCTTGTGGCGCACTACGGCAGAGCCTAGCACCTGTTGGTGGATCTGCAAGGTGGCTCTGGGTGCAGCACCGGGGGGACACCAGGGCAGGTGGCTGACATTTCCACAGCTGAGGTGGGGACAAGGCAGCATCAATAAACTGTACTTTGTAAACCCGCATAACAAGTAACAGACACCACCACAGAGGGCACTCCCCGGTGGACATGTCCTGCAGAGGAACACTCAGTGGCTCTTCTTCCAATGGAAGCTCTCGAATCCTGCCTACCACACACCGCAGATCAGAAGCGGGTCTGGAAGCCTCTATTCCAATGACAGGGGAGCAGACCCAGCCTGTCAGGGCTATGACAACCACAGGGCCAAAAGGAGGCCTCACTCAACAACCAAGGCCTGCTCTGGTCACCACAACACTAACCACACCCCCAATCAAGGGGCTAATAGCCAGCACTGCAGAGGAAAGATGTGGCAATCACCCGTAATAAAAACAGCCCCCACGACAAAATAACGCCATGTGCAGCAACATGGATCGACCTAGAGATCGTTACTGGGGGAAAGGGGGTGGAAGGGATAAATTTGAGGGTTTGAGATTTGCAAATGTTAGCCACTATATATAAAACACAGATTAAAAAGCAAATTTCTCCTGTATAGCACAGGGAACCATATTCAATGTCTTGTAACAACCTTTAACGAAAGAGTATGAAAACTAATACGTGCATGAATATGCATGACTGGGACACTGCTGTACACCAGAAATTGATACATTATAACTGAGTGTAATTCAATTAAAAAAAAAATCAAAGCTAGAGAATTCTCCCAGACTTCAGACAATACTAGAGCTATAGTAATCAAAACAGTGTGGTATTGGCACAAAAACAGACACATGAATCAATGGAACAGAATAGAGAGCCCAGAAATAAACCCACAGACTTATGGGCAATTAATCTTTGACAAAGGGGGCAAGAATATACAATGGAGTAAAGACAGTCTCTTCAGCAAATGGTGCTGGGAAAACTGGACAGCAGCATGTGAGTCAATGAAGTCAGAACACTCCCCCACACCATGCACAAAAATAAACTAAAAAAGGCTTAAAGACTTGAATATAAGACTAGACACAGTAAACCTCTTAGAAGAAAACATAGGCAAAACATTTTCTGACATAAATCTCAGCAATGTTCTCCTAGGGCAGCCTACCCAGGCAACAGAAGTAAAAGCAAAAATTAACAAATGGGACCTAATTAAACATAAGCTTTTGCGCTGCAAAGGAAACTATAAGCAAAACAAAAAGACAACCTATGGACTGGGAGAAAATATTTGCAAGTGATGAGACTGACAAGGGCTTAATTTCCAGAACATATTAACAGCTCATACAATTTAATAACAAAAAAACAAATAACCCCATCCACTGGACACCTGATCTGAGCCCCTGCTGTGGACTCAGACACGCCAGTCAGCGAGCTGGGGATGAGAATTCTGGTGAAAGCAGTGGGTAAGGTAAGGTTGGGGTGCCAGGCCTCAGAAACTTGCCTTTGGTTTAAGAAAACACGCATTCACGTGGACAGTATGGGAAGGTTAAGAAGTGGGTACTCCCGTTTTGTCTCTACAGGGAGGTGATCACTTTTGACACCTGGCGGCCTTTTTTTGTCATCACTGGCGGGTGGGGCATGTGATGTGATTCAGTTGCTGTCCACACGGACCTCTGGTCTGGCCTGCCTCTGTCCCCGGTAGCCTACCCTGAATCCTCCCCAACATCCCTCACTCACGCCCGGCCTCATATCCCCTGGCCTCCAGGCATCTGCAGCCAGGCCGGGGGCAGGGCGGGGGGGGGGGGCCTGGGCAGCCTTGTCCACCCACCGAGGACATTAGGGCCTCCCCTGTCCCTGGCTTCAGAAGTTTGGCTGCTGCCAGTGCTTTCCCCGTCAATCACGCTGCTGCTCCCCAACCCCTGCCTGATCATCACTTCCCATTTCAATGGCAATCTTGCTTCCACCCACGCCCGGCAGAGGCCCAGTTCCTGAGGCGGCCAGGGAGGGGGCTGCGTGGGCTGCGTTAGCTTCCCTCCTCCAACAGCCTCTAATCTTCTCATCCCCAGGCAGATCCGCTCGGAAATCGCAGGCTGCGTGTGCGTGAGGGCAGCTCTGCCTGGCCCTGGGCCGAGAGCTCCAGGTACTTGTATCCTCCTTAGAACAGAGTCTGGTGCCCCCAGGCTGGGCCAGGGGTGAGTGAGGGGCACCCCAACGGGCACCAGGTTTGAGGGGAGGGAAGGGGGGTTGCGAGGCCAGCCAAAGCTGGGTTCCATCAGCACTGTGCACCGATGCCTGCTTCCTCTCTGGGCTCCCTTCACCTGTGGGGCCTGAGGGAGACTGGCCCCACCCTTGCCTGGTTAAGGCACGTGAGAGGAGAAAGCAGGCAGGTTTGCAGAAAGGCTCTGGAATCTGCAGCCCACAGTACTCATACCACCTAAACCTCTCTACGAGCTGACTTGAGCCTCTACTGCCCACACCAGTGGGACCCAGACCATGCAGGGGCGATGGAGCATGTGTGGTCCCCCTGTGTTCCCCAGAAAGGTGGCTGCATGTCCACAGCAGACACTGACTTCTCCCTGAACCATTGACTCATCCCTACCCTTCTCTGGCATTCAGGTTTTGATCTCCCTCAACTCCAGAATTCCCCACACTGTAAAGACACAAGGCAAGATGCACCTGCTCTGGGACAGACAGGTGGTCATGGGCACCAAGGCCTGGGCCCTTCTTGACAGGATGGCAGGGACTCCCACCACAGCTACCCAGAGTGACATAAAAGGCTCCTACGGGCCCGCCTCACCTGGACCACCACCTGCTGGCATCTGTGCTTTGCTCTTCCTGTTCCTTCCCTCTCTAGTATCACCTATCAGGTCTGCTCCAAATCCATGCCTTCAGGAAGCCTTCCTTGATTTCCCCAGCTGAAGAGGATAAGCGCCCATGGACTCCTCCTTAATGGCTCTGACTATTTTGACCAGCTTGAAAGTCATCTTAGGCCTGTTTGCACTCTCCACCTCCTCACTCTCTCAAGTTGGTGAGAAATGTCAGGGCCACGGTGTGCCTAACACAGCATCTGGCACAGTATTTTGCATGCAACATGGGTCTCAGCAAAGTTTGTTGGGCTGAATTTAAAAACCAGGTGATAAATCACTGACAATAAGTGGTTAATGAGCAAACAAATAAATGTAAAGTGAATAAATAATAGATAAGTGGGTAAAAGGGTGGGTGAATGAATGAATGAGCAAATGAAGAGTGATGTGAATGAATGGATAGCTCAGTGAGTGAGCAGCTAGATGGATGAGCAGATGGATGAGAAAGATGAATGAACGGGTGAGCCGGTTGATAGATGGATGAATGCAGAGGTGGATGAATGAGTGGAGGGACAGATGTGTGGGTGGGTGGGTGAGTAGCTAGCTGGGTGAGTGAATGGACAGATGGATGATTGGGTAGGTGGGTAGCTGGGTGGTTGAATGGATGTGTAGGTGAGTGAGTGTGAGGCCAGTGGCCAACTTACCACCAGGTTGCCGATGACCATAACAAGCAAGAAGACCAGCAGGCACAGTGACTGCCCAGACACCTCCATGCAGTCCCACATGGTCTCAATCCACTCGCCACAGAGGATGCGGAAGATGATGAGAAAAGCATGGAAAAAGTCCATCATGTGCCAGCGGGGCAGCAGGCCCGAGTCGCTGATGCGGTGCCTCAGCTCTGAGTAGTTCTTGCCAAAGAGCTGCATGCCCACCACGGCGAAGATGAACACAATGATGGCCAGCACCAGCGTCAGGTTCCCCAGTGCCCCCACCGAGTTCCCGATGATCTTGATGAGTGTGTTCAGGGTGGGCCATGATTTGGCCAGCTTGAAGACCCGAAGCTGGGAGGAAGAAGTCCTTGTGAGGGGCTCTGGATCCCACTCCCCATGGACACCCTTATGCCCCTAGTTCCTGCCTGAAAACCTAGGGAGCCCTTAGAGGTCACATACACCGTTTCCCCCTTTTCTCTCCAGAGCTTCATCAGGCTCTGCCCTAGGAGTCAGGTCAAAAGCACCAGACTCTTCTCCGCAGTTCAGCCCTTCTCTGTCCCCCACATCAGCCTTCTACCCACCTTGATCTCACTTCCAGGAACCTCCCAGTAGACTCCCCCCGTCATAAAGTGTCCCTCTTCCAGGTCCTTCCTCGTCAAGTATCCTTCCAGGCCAGCTCTAAGCATCCCTGACATGCCCAGTTGCCTCCATCTTTCTCTCCTCAGTCATCATCATGACAGAGAAAGGGAGCTGGTGCTTAGCATTTATCAAACACCTATACTGTGCCAGGCCTGGAGCTTAGGATGAATCAATTCATGGCACTATTATTACTTCATTTGACAAATGAAGAAGCCAAGCCTTAAAGGTACAGTAACTTGTCTAAGTCCCTTGGCTCATGGCAGTGGAGTCGGAATTAGAACCCACAGCCTGGGCTCTCTCTTCTCCCCTACCATTCTGTCTTCCTAGCCTCAAGTGAAGCCACCTCCTCCAGGAAGCCCTCCCCGACCTGCCTCCAGTCCCACATCTAGACCCCTCAGACATTTTGAACTCCAAGTGTGGTCCACAGACCCGTAGCTTTGACATCATCTGAGACCTGCTGAATTGGCATCTGCAGTTTAACAAGATCCCCAGGCAATTTGTGTGTGGATTTAAGTTGCAAAAATGCAGATTCCAAAATCTGCAGGTAACGTTACAAAGGAGCTGTCGGCAGACTTGGTTCCACCTGATACTTGCCATGTGGCTGTGGGGCTTAGTCTGCTTGTGTGTGGAACGGGGATGGAGGAACACTAGCTCCTCTCCTGGGATCCTCACAAAGGGGGCATGCTGAACCATTATGGGCTTTGCAAATCATCAGGATGGCCACTCCAATTGCTCTCTGGAGGGAGGGGTATCTCCTGTCTTGCCCTCCTCTGTGCCCCCCGATCACCAGCACTGAGGTACCTAGGAAAAACTGCTGGGTGAAGGCATGAAAGATCAGAGTAGGGGTGACTGAGTGGTGACCTTGGAGAGAACATGCCTGGTGCCCCAGGCCCCCTCCCGCCCCCTGCTGGGCCCAGCCGGGTACCAGGCGGAAGGAGCGAAGCACCGACAGGTTGCCCATGCGGGACAGGCCCAGCTCCATGAGGCTGAGGATGACGATGATGCTGTCGAAGATGTTCCATCCCTGCTGGAAGTAGTAGTAGGGGTCCAGGGCGATGATCTTGAAGGTCATCTCTGCCGTGAAGATCCCTGTGAAGACCTGGGGAGGGAATGGGAAGCAGGGGTTTCCAAGGTTCGGGCTGGAAACAGCCTCTGGCAGCGGGGGCACCCTTCCTCCTGACTCTCGCTCCAGCAGGGTCCCCCGCCTGGGCTGCCAGCTCCTTCTGCACCCAGGCTCCCAGTGGGTGCTTGCTTGGCCATGGCTCAGCCCCCTGGGGGCCCGGTGCCTTCAGCCAACTCCATTGTTCCCCGGGTGTGACCTGCCAGTCTGGGCCTCCAAAACGACTGGTGCCACTGGTGGCTCCACAGGGACTCAGCGCTGGGAGGCACCTGGGATCAGGGGAGGCTGAAGGCGGGCTGTGACCTGCCCCAGCTCCAAGTCCCTTAGAGTCCGCGTTACCCAAGGACGTTTCCCCTGCTCCACACACGCCAAATACCACACTCCCGCAAACATGCTGCCTTCATGGTGCGGGGCCTTTTCCCGCGCTGTTCCCACTTCCTTCCTGGCCACCTGCTGACTCTTCTCACTGTGATAATAATCAGCCACTATCTCTGAGGGCTTGATTATATGTTAAGAGCAGGGCTAGAGTGCTTTGTGTATGTTGCTTCTTTTGGGCTGTCCCACAATCCGACAAGAAAGGCATCATTGACTCCACTTTACAGGTAGGAAAACTGAGGCACTGAGAGGTTAAATAACGCACCTAGGGTCAAGTAGCAAGTATGTAAATTTGTGAACCAGATGAACTCATCGCTATCCTTCAAGATTCAGAGCAATCACTCTCTGTTGGGACAACTGACGTCCTTCAAAGTCCAAAGACCCCCACTCCTGGGCTCTCAGATGTCTGACTTTCTTTACTGGGCATGTTTCCCCTAACAAACACCCCAGGTAATGCCCACCTTCTCAGAGTCATAAACCCCACCGCCCTGCACAGACTCTCAACCTCTTATCTCACCTGCAACCAATCAGGCACCTTGTGACCCTCCCTTATAAGACACCCCCATAACTGGCCCTCGGGACTCACAGGCACCGCTTGTCTGTGTGGCCCCCTGTTGTCTATGACAGAAGACACTAAGATACTCCTTTCTAGTCCTACACTTTATCTCTGGTAAATTCTTTCACCAACCCAAGCACATCACCACGTCCCCATACGGGCCACCTGGTTGTGTCCCACAACATTTGATGGCCTGAACATGGCTAGGACGCCAGGGAGCCCTTTGGGCTTCTCTCTCTCCCCGTATGGGGGTCTCCCCCTGGCTGGATTGGACGCTCCGCTCTGGAGGCCAGAATCGTCAGGACAGGCTTCCCTCTCTCATACTTTTCTGCTCTTCCCTAGCATTCAGACGTTCCCTGGAGTCTTGCTGAGGATTGAGGAACCCTGGCTGGGCTGCTGTCAGCGGGCTCTGCAACTCGGTCTGACAGATGGAAATGACTGGTAGTAGTGAATGAACGTGGGAAAGGTGTCTTGTCTTTTCTAAATACCCTTCTCTCCCCTCCCTCTTCCTCTGTCTTGCCCTTCCTCTGACCCTGGCCCTCGACACACTCATTGGGCCCAACCACGTGGTGCACCTCTGCGCCTTCTCTCTGCTTTTGGGATCAGGTCTCCACACTGGCCGTGCCTCCTGCCTTCCATCACCGCGCCGGTGGGTGAGTCCCCCCACTTTTTCTTTGCTTTTCAGCCCTTGAGCTGGTTTTGGCTCTTGCGCTGGTTGGCTTCTCTTTCTTGGCGGACACCCAAAGTAAGAGGAGCCAGAAGTTCAGCCTTTCTCTTTCTGGGGGATGCTCCAGAATCGAGTCTGCACTGGTTCCCTTCTCTTTGCTTCTTCTAGTCCCTGGAGCTCACCTTTGGGCTGCATTTTAAAACACTGGGATAAGTTCGAGCTTCAGGTCTTAAAGAGATAGTGCCTTGTTCTCTTCTGTAATACATCCTGACCATAATACCAACTTCCAGATCAAGAGGCTTGGCCCCTTAATGGAACCCTAAACTCTAACATCATCTTTCAGCCTAATCTCTTGTCACAACTAGGGCAAATGGTACGAGGTCTCGTGTCCAAACCTTTATGGCTCGCTCTCAAAACTCAGATCTGGTTCTTTAAGGGACTGTCTGATTAGAACTTGTACTGGTCAGTCTGTGACAGCCATACATGTATGTGTTTTGTACCTTGTGCTCTGTCTTGCGAAATGGGAAATTCTGGTTCTGTTCCACCATGGAGCCGTCTTGGGCAAATTCTGTCTGACTGGGAAGATTTTAGTTGTGAGATAATACTGTGTGGCCACAATATTCTTTAGACTCCAGAAAAATTGGTTTAGGGAAGCTTTTTAAAAATTACAAAACTCGTTCTTTTTGAATTATCAGTTAGGAAAAAAAACTAGATACTTCTTCAAAATTCTAACCCTGAGAGAACAAAAAATATTCCTAGGAGAAAAGAGATAAGAAAAGAGACAAAAGGCAAGCCAGACAGACGGCGGCCACCGCCATTTGCCATCGCTCATTCTGTGCCAGGACCAGAGAGAGGTGTGGCTCCAGAAATAATCCAAAACCCACCAATCCTTTCACCACCCCCCAAACCTCCCTCACTTATTTTAAGAGACTAGGAAGTATTTTAAAAACCCCTTTTTGCTGGCTTTTAAGGGAACAAAGTCATTCTAGGAGGAACTTGCCTATGAGATGCAAAAATTCTACCCGGTCTTCTCCAGGAACCCTTATCTCACTATCCTTTTAAATTGCAAATTTTGGAAAGGGGGCAAGGCACAACCAATGAGAAGCTGTCCTGCCTCAGGGGATTGTTACAAAGTTTAGCTGAATTATTTTTAAAGCTCAGTAGTCTAAATATATATGTCAGGATCTGATGCAGAGTTAAAGTTAATCCAATTGTTAGGTTTATGGTCAACTACCTATATCCAGTAAACCTCTGGGTTACCTTGGTGGATTTCTCCATTCTAAGGGTCTAACTGGTAGGCCCTTAGGAAATTTATTCTAGAAGAAAGAAATTATAGTTCTGTGCTGGCCCCTAGTAATATTACTAGATGGGATTCTCTCACTTGGCAATTGATACCTGCTCCAACCCTGGCGATAGATAAGAAGCTTCTTCTAAACTTACTCAAGCTCAAGCAAAGCAACAAGTGGCAACTTGGAGCAGTTAACCAGATGTACAGTTCTATAGGAGATTTGTGATTATAATGGTGTAACTCAAGATACGGGAAGAAGCAACAAGAGGGAATGCTTTCCTGGACCGTAACAGACCAGTAAGACAGACGGTCCGGAGACTTTTTGCTCCTGTTAATAAGGCCTAGTCCTGCAACAGCACGTTGAGTGGCCCGGCAGTGAACTCCGCGCCTGACCTAGGGATGAGCACTCCAAGCACCGCGGGAGGAAAGGGTCATGAATTGCCTCCCAAGCCACAGTCAAGTTCATGATCACGAGGGCACGTTCCATTCGCCTCGACAAGGATTAAGTCGCAAGCTACTGAAGTCGCTGACCTTCGGCGCGCTCTGAAAGGAGGTCAGGGCGGAGGTCGGGAATGAGGCGCACTCTGCTCTGGGAAAACTGGTGAGACAGGCCTTCAGATAGTTAGACGTTTTCAGATTTTATGAACCCAAATTGTTGTATCTCCTCGTATTTAGGAAAAGCACTAAAATCATTAATAGTAACATCTACCTAGGCCACTAAGGAAAGCTGTCTTACAAAACCACATGGCTCTTAACGTCCCACCCAAGCGGGCCCGTTCGCAGCTATAGGTTCTGAGCGCTGGACTTACACGCCTGCTATGCTGGGTATGGCAGTGCTTACGGAAACCCAGTCACGAAACAGGTCTCTGGCTTGTTCTCCAATGCCTCCTCCTAGATCTCTGAAGGGAGAAGGTCTTTCTTTTCAGACATTCTCAAATTTCTTCTGTTTTTACTGGGTTTAGCTTTTTATTTTGGTATCTGCCTATTTTTATGCTGTATTCCTCTCTCTTACAAAAATTATTGTCTCTGAGGTCCACGAACTTAGGAACAAATATACCTTCCTAGCAAGACTGTCACCATGAACCAAGCCAATATCCTGGTGACGCAGCCCTTGGATGACACTGGGGCCTCCTTTCACTCCCACCTTTAAGGCTGCCGGGGTGTCTGAGCCCCAAAACCCCAGACAGACTGGCACCATAGGCAGGGACAGTGCGAAGCCCACAGTTCAGCAGGAAGTAAATACAGAAGAAGGGATTCTCACCCCAGTTCCAAAGATTTGTCACTGCCAATCTGTCGGGGGAAATGTTGGGCCAACTGACGTCCTTCAAAGTCCAACACTGACCCCCATTCCTGGGCTCTCAACGGTCAGACATTCTTTACTGGGTATGTTTCTCCTAACAAATTAATAACCCCAGGCAATGCCTACCTTATCAGAGTCATAAACCCCACTGTCCTTCGTGGACCCTAAACCTCTCACCTCACCAGCAACCAGAGACTTGTGCATAAGGCGATCAGGTACCTTGTGACCCGACCCTATAAAACACCCCAACAACCGGCCCTCAGGGCTCACGCAGGCACCCCTCATCTGTGTGGCCCACTGTGGTCTAAGACAGCACACCCTAATAAACTCCTTCTGACTCCCATGCTTCATCTCCGGTAAATTCTTTTACCAACCCGCGTGTCAGCATGTCACCGCCCGGCCGTGCCACTGAGCCTACAACACTCTTCTGGAAAGTTCCTGAGGTAGGCAGAGGCTGGACTTCACCTGCTTTGTTAACTCGAGTCCTGAGCAGCCCAGCTTCGGCCAGCAGAGAGCCACGGTCAAGGAGCCCATCATGTGGTGGCCCAGGCAGCCGAGACCATGGCTAATGGCTCTGAGTTGTGCCAACTGCTATGGCGGGAACATGGTCTGGGAAGAGGGCCTATCCCAAGGGGGTGTGACTGGCGGGAAGTTGGGGTCTGAAGTCATCTCGAGGGCACTGAGGAGGCTCTGAGGTCTTCTGCAGGGGGGGCCTGAGGTCAGAGGGCCAGGCTGCCTGGGGACAGTGCTGGGGCTGCGGCAGCTGTGGCGGTCAGAAGCAGAGGCATGGCTG